TTATCACCCCTTTGACTTCTGATGCTACGAGCCTGACATTAGACCTCGAGCAGGGTTCTTATGATTCGAAAACGATATGTTTAGCAAACGGCTGCTATCTTTTTGATTTTGGAGGGTCGGGTCGTATAGGAACGGCTATCTTTGTATTTGTCTTTGATGATCAATTCTCTGGTATTTCTCCGTTTTTGACAACGGTCCAGCTCCATATGGGAAAAGCAGCCGCGGGAGGCTGCACTCTTCCTCCCACAGCAACCCCCAGCCCGTCAGTATCCCCCGTTCCCACTGCGTCACCTACATTCTCCCACGAACCAACGATCTCATATGCCCCGTCGCGCTCACCGAAACCAACTGGAGATCGCTGTGTTCCGAATTGTTATGGTTCTAGCTGCGCTGATCTTCTAGGTATCTATCCAGAATCCAACTGTTTAGAGTTCGGTGAACTCGGATGTGACTGTACTCACTGCATTTGTCCCACCGACCGACCAACAACGAGTCCATCGGGAAGCACGCCACCCACCAGCTCGTTCGCACCCACAAGTGCACCCACGCCATCCCCAAGAGCACAACCTACGGCTGCTCCAAGCACCTTTCAACTTGAGTCTAAGGTTGTTGAAACATCTTCATTCAGCAGAACTCAGGCTTATGCCATTGGTGCAGCTGTTTTGTTTGTCTGTCTCTTAATCTGCCTCAGGCGTCGGAGGCGGAGACGCAAACTTGGTGGCGATAAGCACCTCTTGGCCGACCAAGGAGACGCAAACGTGGCTTGCGAGCTTTATAAAGGGGAATCCTCCAAGCAGACTGAATCCTCATCGAGGAAATCAGAGTTCCATGTAGAAGCCAGTGTGACATCGCCCCCCCTCCCTCAAAGCGAACCCTGCGGTCTGATTGATATCGACAATACTTTGGCAAGGGGTAGCGCAAATATCACAAAAGCGAAGGAGGATATTATAGAGCTCATCTATATTTAGTTCGCTAGTGACCACCAGTCTTCCATAAGGGTCTCATTAGTCAGCACACACCGATGAAATGTCACGCAAGAAGCATGGAAGTCGGAAAATGCAAGTCATATGTGCCAAGGCCAAGAAAACTGAACGGCAGCCTATTTTAAAAACGTGATTTGAAGAAGTTTCTTAAACACAAGTAATTGGAGCCTTCTCGACTCCTCCAGGTGATGACCCGTTGGATGCAGAAGAAATTCTATTGATACTGCATTATCCCTGTGCACTCCAGTAAAATGTTGCCGTTACTTCCAGCACTCTCCATCACAATTCTGGATCATATTTACTGGGTGAGCGTTTTCTTTAAAATATTTGCTGCCACAGATTTTCGTCGAAGAGCCGAACCTGCTAATACCACACTAGGCAGGCAGAGACGAGGAGGCACTTCCATTTCTGATTTCGGAAAAGGAAAGCGCCTTCGGGGCGATATTATAAGGCAGACTCAGCATAGCCAGCATAGGCTAGTATAGCGTCCCAGCATAAGTCCCGAGCAAGGAGCGGAATATAAGCTCCCTAGGTAGCTGGCTTATCGCCAAGCGCACTTTGATTGTGCTTAGTCACACTCGCGTTCTGACGACAATAATCGCCGTCTTTTATGGTAGCAGGTGCACTGTGATCGCAACCAAAACCAGAGCTACATCATGTAGAGAACGAAATATGTGCAGGTGATATAGCCGCCAGGATATATCAGCCAGGATATTCAGGATACAGAGGAGAGAGACAGAAGATAATATCTCGTACTCGAGTACGAGTATCGTCTGTCGCTGACATCCTCTTCTAGTATTGTGCGCCTGAGCGCACCCCAGGAAAATCTTCTTTTGAGGGGAGGGATAAAGTGAGATCCCCCTGCCGAAGGCAGGAGACGAACACGATGCGCGCTTGCGAACTATTATTGATACTCCATTCGCTAATTATGACAAAGACAAGACCGGTGAAGTTGAATTCGACGAACTTAACGATGCTTTAGTCACTGATCTAATCAAAGAATACACTAACGGGGTAGATTACGTTTCTCTTGGATGGTCTTACTGAATGTAAACTGACTGGAGTCGGCAATAAAATGTGGTGGTCTAGTATCCTCGCCATGAGGGATCAATGCCGCGGTCACGTCCCGCAGGATGGGGACTCGCGGAGGACGAAACTGTGTCGCGTTTAACATTCATACCTGGCTGGACGGAACCTTCGGAGAAATGAGTCTGCTCTGCCCTAAACCGTGGGGAAAATACTGTGCATCTATGGGGCCAACCTCCGAAGTGCAACTGTGGCGGGTGCTGTTTTAAAACTGGGCGAGCAAGGGGGAAAGCCTAGTTTATCTCCATATTGCGCTTGTTGGACGTGAGGCTCAGGCTGAGCCGATTCAGATCTACATTTGCACAGCGCTGGCTGTAGGGACTTCAGATCATATCACCATGTTGTTGCACTGCGTTCTCTTCAATTCTTGCGAAATCTTTGGGGATGTGCGGCATGCGGGGTGTGATAACTACGGGTGTGATAACTAGGGCATACCTAGGCTTCTTACCATTCATGGCCACACCTCCAAATGTGCTGCCCATGCACAAACCAAAGCACACACAAATGAGGCTGCACTTCTCATAAGGAAACAAGAAGGAAACAGTATAGCCGATTATATAGGCAAAGGTTACAAGTATAGTGAAGCCGCAAAGTATTTCACGGTTGCTCAACGCAGACACAAATCGGAGCGTAAACCCCATAGAGGTCCCGGGAGCTGAAAAATATATTCTTGGAACATCTGCAACCACTTTGGCGCAATAGTATGCTAACCTATTCAAACCGTATGAACACTCCCTGATATATATCACCGTCTCTTTCCCAAACGTGCCACTGGCCACTGAACCGTACAAGGCAAGCACGTTGAACCCGCACGGTTGAATTGCATTCATGTAACCATTTTGTTGAAGATCCTGACATCTCTCAATCAAATCAGGGTGCTGTTGACGACAGATATCTGTCGCATGTGCACCAACGACATTGTGAGCGAGGGGGTTACCAATGATGCGACCAAGTACAATACCCATCAGATACGGGGCGAAAAGATAGAGGCGGATAAAATGTCGCAAGGAAGGGTAAGCCTGCATGATGGCGCGTTCAAGACAGAGCATAAATTGAAATTTGAAGCTAGGAGGCTGCTTTTTAAATGGGGGTAGCATAGTAGGGTGGTGCATTGGCATGCCCCCTTCCTTCATGCTGGATTTGTATTGGAGCCACGCAATAGAAAACGACTTGTTCGAGTCCCAAGTTGGTTCGCCCAATGGTTGCCTGTCGCCTGACAGACAGAGGAGCACAAAGTCCGGAAACGGTCCGTCGACTTCCAAATCTCGACGAAATCCAAGAGAGGCAAAATTC